GCGACACCCTTCGAACCGGCACACAGAAGACCAAAAAAAAACCCTCCCCCAACACAGACAGACCGGCTGCGGGACAGCGTCACGCGGGACCCGCTCTTCACGACCAAAAAAAAAATTGCACCAGGCAACACCCTCCGAAACACTTCTACCGCGCCGCGACACCCTTCGAACCGGCACACAGCAGACCAAAAAAAAAACCTCCGATTTTGCGAAGTTCCTGTTGGGCCCGCGCCTTGCCGCCCAATTCTTTCCCAACACAGACAGACCGGCTGCGGGACAGCGTCACGCGGGACCCGCTCTTCCCTTTATAAAGAGTATAGAAAACAGAAAAGAGAAACACTTCATCCTCCAGTCGTCTTCTTTTACCTTGTCTTGAAATTGGGGCCATGAACCTCACAATTCTACCCCAAAAAATACCGGGTTCATTACCCAAGTTCGGCTATGATGGAACCTGGGTCTTGCGTCCCATGAATCGGCCCTCTGACGTTTCTCCAAAAACGATTCCGCAGATTTTCGACAGAATATAGCCAGCTTTCAACTAAAACCACATCAAACAATTCCCTCCGATAAATCCCGCAAGAGCCGTCTAACACCACCCACGTAGAGCTCGACCTCTAGAATGGCTGCTTGAGCACCATTCTAACATATGCCCACCCCTCTCTCGCTTTAACAGCACCCCAATCTTGTTATGAATCCATCCTCGATAATCTTTCCTTTGCCCCTTGATGCATCCAAGCTCCCTCCCCAATTCCCTTTCCTGTCCAGGTCCCGCCAACCACCTCTATCTACAGACCAAAACCATAGACTCGTTCCCTCTCCTGTTTTGTCAACTTCACCACGGTGCCAGACTCTGCTTCAAACAGGGCTGGGCAGGGGTTCCTGCTCAGCCCGGGTGCCTCGGACCGTTGTCTCGTCAGGTCACCCAGCCAAGACGGTGATGGGTGATGTTCCAAGCCAAGACGGTGATGGGTGATGTTCCAAGCCAAGACGGTGATGGGTGATGTTCCAGGGTAGGGTAGGACAGACGGGGTAGGGGTGCACCAAGGAAATTGACAAGAGGAAGGTGGCGTCTTGTGAGGGGTTCGAAAAATAGATGAATGGATGGAACAAAAAGGTCTGATGAAGTAAGGAAGCTCGATCAGTACTGCAATCCTGCCTGCAGCCTCCCTGCTGCCTGCCTGCCTGCCTGCCTGCTGAAAAACGTGTCCTCGAAAACCACCTCCCTCCCTCGCACCCTCCCTTTTGCCCCATGGTTATCATCACAACATACATGAGGGCATTTTTACACACGCTAGCGAGTTGCTGTTTGCGAACCTTGCGTTCGCCCTCCTCGTATGCGTATATGAGGGCATTTTTACAATGTGCACACGCTAGCGAGTTTTGCATACACGCCAAGTGAGTCCTTGCGAACCTCGAGTTAACTGTCTCAGGGCATACGCACACTGGCGACTTTTTTAACTTCTCCGTGAGCGTAACTGAGGTCAGATGCAACCAGGAGGAGCCGTAAAAGCGGTCAGATGCATCGAGGAAAGTCCTGGTGCGAGTATGCCCACCGTGTTCATCTGTTCCGTCATTGCGGCCATCTGCTGCCAGGCTAAGGGCGTACTCACACTACCGGTCGCACTATCTTAAATATATCTGACCGCATTTACAGCCGCACCTGGATGCATCTGGCAGCAATTCCATCCACAAGTAAAAAGAAGTCCTAGTGTGAGTATGCCCTCACTCAGTCAAATACGAGGAGACTGACTGACACCTGAGCAGCATCCTGACGTCAGAATGCTGCAGCAACTCTGCTGTACCGACGCAGACCGAATCATCGCTCACAACTTATGCTTTCTTTGTTTCTTACATAAAAAATCCCAATTAGATCCCCATCTCACCCCTCCCCATGCATTATTATGGCCTTTCTTTAATAATAAAAGCTTAATTTCTCAAACCCTACTGGGACCATGTCCCATATGCACCGTTTAGTTGAGGCAGCTCAACGTGCGACAGCTAAAAAAAATCATTTCAACTCAATTTCAAATGAGAAATGCATTTATAAATGGCAGGAATACAATTGTTCTCATTTTTCGTTTTTCACAATTGGAGTGGCATACGGGCACTTCCACAGCAGAAAATGAAGAGGTGCCCGAATCCCGTCCAAAAATGGCAAACGGAAGGAGGTTCGTTCAGTTTCTCTTGAAAAACGCCTGTTGGGGGAACAAGAGGGTCGTTGAACTAGCTGTCTCGAAAAAAGGAGACAGCTAGTTCAACGGAAAGTCGCGAGGGTAGGGGTAGTAGTATTCGAGAGAAAGGATTTATTCCTGTTTTTTATGTAAGAAAAAGAGAAGATGGTCTCTATTGCCCTTTTTATTAGAAACGGACCGTTAGATGAATTGGACGAGTAGCATCTCCCTTGTCGCGTACAGTCACACAGGCTCGAAAACCCCACGTTGACCTAGCTCAACGGAGCTAGTGGGACAAGGTCCCTGCACTCTTCTCTTCATTTCTATTTATTTATTTATTTTATTTTTCTATTACTTCTTTTTTTCCGTTCTCCTTTTTTTTTTTTTTTTTTTTTCGCTCTCATTTTTTCATGTATATCTATATCTATACTCTTTATGAACAGAAGAGCGAGTCTCGCGTGACGCTCCTGCAAGCCCGTGCTCCCTGTGTTGGGAAACAGTGAGAGACAAGGCACGGGGGGGCAAGGGAAACCCACTGAAATCGTTTTTTTCTTCGGTCATCGTGGCGCGAAGGCCCACACACGTGGTAGTTCCATTCGCGCGCAGCGCCCACGGGAGTTGGAGGCCTGCGCGCCCATGGGAGTTGGAGGCCACTTCCATTCACGCACAGTGCCCATGGGTTTTCCATTTTCGCGCAGCGCCCGTGGGTTTTCCATTCGCGCACAGGAGTGAGCCGTTCAAATACAAGTTCATAGCAAGCCCTTTTCAGCATGTTTGAGGCCATAGCTGCCCGTTTTGGCAAGTTCGGATTCAATGCACAAAGGACAAAAAAGATATGGAGAGTTACATGTTCTCTCTCCCTCTCTGTGTGTGTGTCTCTCTCTCTCTCTCACACACGCACACACACAAAAACAGATAAAACAAATGGCAGTGTATATTTCCATGTTCTAGCAGAAGATTCAACAAATGGCAGTGTATATTTCCATGTTCTAGCGGAAGACTCATTCCGACTTTGCTCATCCTACCAATGGAGACTT